TGTTTGTGGAGAAGACAACAAATATGCCACCCTTTATAAATAATTAAAGCGGATGAGAGATGTGTAAGTGCAACAGTGAACAACTCTATAGAAAATGTCCGTAGCTGCACGGACCATAGCTACTCTGACGACGCCGTCCTAGCCGGGTATGACTTCTTGAATGCTTCCAAGTGCCCATTTTAAAGATGGAATGCTGTCCTCCTTCAACAACACGATGCTTCCGATGATGGAAGCTTCGAAACGCCATGTGCTCCTTTCCTGAAGAAGTGAAAAATCTTCACTGTTTCACCTTTTCCAAAAGAGTTATTTCATTTAAGTCACAATTTGCCATCTGCTGAGGCGGCCTTCGAGGAGATGAGTGACATCCAGCTCAAATTTGGTACAGCTGGAAGCCTTTAGGAAGTGCACCTGCGCCTGAAGGCCAAAACGGATGGATCGACGACTCTGTAGAAGTGAAACCGATTTCAAAAAAATAATAGTTCCTTCAACTCGCCTAACTCGCTCTTAGCGCCGACAAAGTTTGTCGCATTACCACCGCTGAGGTCCTAGACGACTTCCAAGTGAGCGGTTTTCGTGAAAAAGCAGACAATGATGGGGCTATAGCACTTGTGCAGTGCACTTCCGCAGAGTTCCGGGGCTCTGCTTTATGATAGAATGGCCCACAATAGAGCTCTACCCATGACGTGCTCCCGAGTCACAGGCTTCATCCGAAAGAATCTGATGCATTTGTTGATGACGATAGCCACGAACTTCTGACCTCCAAATGGCCAATACTTTTGTCGTAACGTGGCGAGTAACGCCTGCGATCCTGCGTGCATGTATTTTTCATGAAAATACACGATAATCGCCTTGTTGACTGGATGGTCCTATATCGGATGCTTCGTATCGTAGTCCAAGTTTGCATTCTGAAGCCTTCCACCAACTCGAAGTAATCTATCGGAGCCAAGAATTAGCTTCAGAATATAGCTTCGAAATAAAATTATACATGTACACAAATACACGCTGTATCTTATAAAACGAGATGAAAAATTAGCAGTTATTAGAATATTAAAACAAATTAGAGTCGCGGAACGACGCTCCGGAAGATCCTTTACTAACAGGGAAGGTCATTCCGACGAGTCTTGCAAAAGAAATGGAGGTCCATTAGCCCAAAGGGAATGCTCCAGCAATTTCTTTAGGGGTACAGCCTCCGGGCACAACAGCCGCCGGACTTAAAATGGTTGGAATATGATGCCAAGACATTCCTTTCGTCATCTCCTGAATTTTTGCGATTCGGTTGGATACAAACACGTTAAACTCCCTCTGAGGTTGCCGAATCCACGGCAACACCATAGACGCGTCAGACCAGCAATGAAAGGCGCCATCGAAATTTAAGGTTTCCCTGACGTTTACGATAAATTCAACCAATAAAAGTGCTAGTGAAATTTTAATCTTGAAATTGTTCAGGCCTTTAAAGGGGCTACTCTTGTATCTTTACTGTCCTCCGACCGCAAATATAGGCACGTTCCATAAGCTGCTATGCTAGCATCCCAAAATTCAAGCAACTCGATGGATGCTTGTGGATGCGCTACGAATCGGGGAAATTTTAAGTTCTGGACGATCGACAACTGAAAGGTGGGCTCTGGGAGTGCGTTATCCCAATCCAAATTAGTTTTCCAAAAAGATTGTAAAAAGATTTTGGATTTCGTAGATATTGGTGATACTAAACCGAGTGGATCATAAAGTTTGGCTATAGTTGACAATGCGATTCCTTTAGTGTCTCAATTACTTGACTACATTTGATAAAATTCAAATAGGAGTTTTTTAGAAGGATCCCAAACTAGCCCCAATGCCTTTGCGATATCCAATCCATCGTGAAATTTCATAATCTTGATCTATATCGCAGTCCGACTCCCACTCGAGGGCAGTTGACTCATTCGAACACCATTTGCAGATCGGAAAGTGTCCTCGCGACAATAGATTTTTCACCTGGCGACAAATTTCTCTCACCTCTTCAATTGTATCGCCCCCAGAAATTAAATCATTGGAATTGAATCCTCTTCATCATAAGGAAGCAGATGCATGGCTCATACAATCAAGAAAGCTGGCTGTCTTTCATAGGTCACCGTGTTTAGTTAGTAAAGACTCAACTCATCCGTTGAGTTCTCTCCCCAAACTATACACTCCAAAAAGTCATCCGGGTACGAAACACGTAGGCAGCGGTACATCTTGCAGATGTCTCCACAAAGGGCTACTTTAAAGAATCTTAAGCGTATGTCAATATGTTAAAGATTTTTTGCTGAATGGTCGGCCCTGCGAGAAGTAAGTTATATAAAGAGCTTCCAGAAGTCGTTTTAGCAGACCCATCAAAGACGACATGAAGTTTTGTGCTCGTGCTGATGTACGCAATGGTGAGGCAAGAAAAATTGTGGTACGGCTGGGTCTTTTGATGCGAGGAACATGTGCCCAAAGTTTATCTACTCCTTTAGAAAGGCCAAATACTATACCTTCTAGTTTAGCTTCCAAACTCTTGAAACGACAACGAGCCAGGCAATAGGAATCACCTAGAATTTGGAATCCCGAAGCGGACAAGTGACGATCAGAGTATTGACCATTTTCAAGCCTAGTGCAGTGTTCCTTTAAAAGTTGTTCGCATCGAAATTCCTCAGGCAACCAAACTGGCTTCGCTGAACTAAAGTCTTCGATTTTTCAAAATTGTGTTACAATAGCAATAAGTGTTTTATCATCAGAATGGTCAGTTGGATCCTTAAGAAAAACAGATTTATGATTTGGAATAAGTGGCATCCCTCCAGAAACGATCCAACCAAGCATGATGTTCTGCAGTGTTGGCAAGTGGTTATCCCAACGAGGAAAAACTCATCCTGATTACCTCGAAAGAAACTCTACGTCGACAAGTTGAAGAATTTTTAGAATCCCCATTCCAAATGAGTTTACCTGACAGTCCTGTCACATTGGAAGAATTGAAAATCTTAATATCTAAGCTGCCTCGCAAAAAAAACTCCGGGGGAAGACTCTTATGACAACTGGACCATCACTTTCACTTCTCAAAGATCAAGCCTTGCAGTCCCTGGTGATTATTTTTAACAGCGTGTTTAGTATTGGATACTTTTTAAAGCCTCAAAATCGGCGAGTGTCATCATAAAAACCGCCGAATGATGTGGACTCATATAGGCCAATCAGTCTACTTTTACAGTCTGGGAAAAATCATGGAGAGGTTGACCCTAAACAGACTTTTTACTTTGGAGAACGTTACCAGCAAGATTCCGAAATTTGAACTTCTTTTTAGACTACAGCATGGCACGTCTGAGCAGCTACATAGAGTAATAAAGAAAAGAAAAAAAGGTATTTGCAATCGCTGCCTTTCTTGACATACAACAGACTTTTGACAGAGTTTGGCACCCCGAGCTGCTGTACAAAAAAAAAAGACTTCTCACACCTTAGCTATACTAAGTTGTTAGAGGATCGCGTATTCCATGTCTCTGCTGATGGGTACAAAACGTCAACCAAAACCATATCTGCTGGAGTCCCACAAATAAGCGTCATTGGCCCTCTTCTGTATTCTATCTTTGCCTCAGATATGCCTTCACATACTCCAATTACTGGGGTTGAGGAACAAGATGTGCTGATCGCACAAAAAGCAAAAGTATCTTGGCTGCCACATTTGCTCTCCAAGAATATATGCGCATTAACGCAGAAAAATTTGCGACTGTGACACTAACCGACGAGGTAGGTGTCCTGGCGTAAGCCTTAATGAAAGCAGACATATAAATACCTTGTCTTCAGACATATAAATACCTTGTTGTCACCTTAGACAGAAGGCTTACCTTTGGGAAACACATCACATGCGTACAGCATTTCTTCGCTCGAATGAAATGGCTTCTTGCACCACGCAACAAACTGTCACTAACCAACAAGGTTAGAATTTACTCCATTTTAGCGCCTAGTCTTTTCTATGCCCTCCAAATTTATGGAATTGCTGCAAAAAGTAGCCTAAACAAATTGTTTTTCTGTTATCTTAGTTCTAAGTATTATTATACCAATTGCTAAAACATATAAGGTAGTTGGATTAGATTAAGCTGCCATTTGGGTAGTAGTGCGCTAATCAATAATAAATTTCTATATATTTCAGTATGTTACACAAATATAGCCCTTTCTTGGCGTTTAAAACCTTACCCCATCTAGAAGAAATCAAGTCGATCTGATCAAAAACAACGGCGTGAGCATTCTTTATTTCATTCTCTCGTATGGGAGGTATCCGATATAGTCGGCCGATCCGGCCCGTTCCGACTTATATACTGCGTGCAATACCTACACAACTTTTGGTAAAGTTTCAGCAAGATAGCTTTAAAACTGAGAAATTAGTTTGCGTGGAAACAGAGAGGAGGGCAGACGTACAGGCGTACAGACGTATTTCGATACAGATCGTGATGCTGATCAAGAATATATATACTTTATGGGGTCTGAGGAGTCTCCTTTAAATTTTAAATTATAATACCCTCTGCAAGGATTTAAAAAAATGTATACATACATAAATATTGTCAAAAAAACGATAACGCCGCTGTTTTTATACTACGACCATGATTTTTAAAGCATGGAGTTTTTAAGCTAACCTTGAATCGAAATCATAAATAATTAAAAAACAGACAACTATATCATATAGCTGTCAAAGGAAAGATCGAAATGTTTATATAGAATTGACGGAACTTAGCGGAAAAATATAAATATCGTTGTTTTTCAGCAGACAAGCATAATTGTCGGTATATAGAATTTTTTAATGACTCTTGAATTTCGAATTAAATTTTATAAGAGTCGGACGACTATATAAAATAGCATTTATTTGAACAATCGTTGAAAATATAGAAACTTTATAGAAAAATCATCAAAGCTTCGTTTAGCCTCTATGTACTTGGTTTGAAATATTTTATGACTGCAAGGGTATACAAGCTTCGGCTTGCCAAACCTGGCTTCATTTCTTGTTTTATATTCATTTATATACTTACTCCAAAATATTGGTCTTTTTCACAATTGTCTATCTCATCCAAGATACACGTCACATTTTTGGGATCACTGCTCTCTTTTGACATTGAAATTTGTTTAACATGACTTTTTTGTTGTTTAATAGTGTGAGGTTTACTCTTGTGACGTTTATTTAGTGCTTTTATGTTCACCAATCTAAGGAAAAAAGAAATAAATAATGTGCAAATATATTTTAGTTTATATTATAAAGAAAAAGTATAATAAAAAAGTTTATTATAGCCTTACAGAGGGTATTATAATTTCAGGCAAAAGTTTGCAACGCAGTGAAGGAGACTGTAACATTCGTATGACAGCCTTTGGTATATCAACATCAAATATTACAACCTTTGTATAACAGACATAAAAAATGCTACAAAGCTTCAAAGCTCCTTTTTTCGATCAATCTGACTAAACTTCAAAGCTCCTTTAATAACCATATCGACGCATTTCCGCGAATGTATCGTATGTTGAAAAAATCAAATTTTACAGGAGAAGCTTTTTCTTTATTTTTGTATTTCGGTATTTTTGTGCGATTGCAGTATTTCCAAGCAAATGAAAAAAATTTGTATGGACATACGATAATTTCGCGCGCACATTGTAACATACAATAAAATTGAAACTTAATTTTTATCGGAACTATGGGGTTTCAGTTATAATATTTCACAGGGTAGTGAGACATTAGGTGCATAACAATTTTGCATTAAAATCTCAATTTCGAAAAAAAGCGACATACGATACTTTCGCGGAAATGCGTCGATATGTTTCATATTAACTAATGTAAAATTACGATAAGAACATAAGAACAGTTAGGATTAAGCTTATGCATAAGAACTAATGTAAGGCTTTAAAAATAATTTCCAAACTGATGTCATTTACACAGACTTCAGTAAAGCATTTGACTCTGTAAATCACTTCCTAATGATTCGCAAACTTGACATGATGGGGTTTCCAGCAGATCTTTTAAGTTGGATCTTTAGTTATCTCAGTGGCCGAACGCAAAGAGTCCTTTTCAAAAATTCCTTAAGTAGTATCCTCAGAGTTACCTCTGGTGTACCACAAGGAAGCCATCTGGGACCATTACTTTTTACCTTGTTTATCAATGATCTTCCATCGATCATTGTGCATTCCCGCGTACTTATGTACGCGGACGATGTAAAACTGTGTCTGCAGTATAATGATTACTCCCGGCACTCAAACCTTCAAGCAGACCTAAACAATTTTCAAAACTGGTGTAACGAAAATTTACTGAAATTAAACAGCTCTAAATGCAAGCTGATGACGTTTTGTCGGGTCAATCCACAAAATGTCACCTATTCACTAAGTGGTGGTGCCTTGGAAAGAATAGCGCTTGTTGACGATCTTGGCGTCCAATTGGACCCCAAACTTAAATTCTCTGCTCATATTTCGAACATGGTTAATAAAGCTAGGGGAATGCTTGGATTTATTAAACGATGGTCGAAGGAATTTGAGGATCCTTACGTTACCAAGGCTTTATTTATATCGTTGGTCCGGCCAATCCTTGAGTATGGGGCACCCGTTTGGAGTCCTCAATACGGAGTACATGCTGATCGCATAGAATCAGTACAAAAAAACTTTTTAATTTTTGCCCTACGCCGCCTAAACTGGAATGCAAACCTATTCTTACCCTCATATTCTCATAGATTGCTCCTCATAAACTTGCCCTCCCTTACTAACCGTAGAACGATGCTTGGTACCGTATTTATTCATAACCTTATACGTGGTGAAATTGACTGTCCTTACTTGCTGAGTAGACTAAATTTCTCGGTACCAAGTAGATTTACTAGAAATTATGCTCCTTTAGTTTTAAATCTTTGTAGATCTAATTACGACGTGCATGAGCCTTTCAGGGTACTTTGTTCAGACTATAATAGACTGTATTCTATAGTATCTTCTTCTGACTCTCTGGAACTCCTAAAAAGATCAATACTAACATTTCTGGCACAAAATTAGATCGTTAAATTTAAAATTAAAATAACATTTAACTTTCTTTCATCACTTTTCGTTTTTAAATTTTTTTTCTTTTAAAAATCGCGTCAAAATTTATCGCGAATCGTGCCGTACGTTACACGGCGGTCGCCCCTCGGTCGGTTGGGCGGGATTGTGCGCCGTGGGACTACGCGCGTAAAAAAAAAAAAAAAAAAAAAAAAAAAACCGAAACGTATAAAAGACGGCCCTGTCCTCCTGTATGTTTCTGTGTACTCTAGTCTCTCAGTTTTAAAGCTATTTTGCTGAAGCTTTCCCAAAAGTTGTGCAGTTGTTGCACGCAGTGTATAAATCGAAACGGGCCGGAACGGGCGACTGACTATATCGGATAGTTCCCATAGGAGAGAATGAAAATAAATCAAGCTGACTCTTGATTTTCGAATTCAATTTCATTAAAACGGACGACTTTATCATAGAGCTGTATTTGATATCTGCAAGGGTATATAAGCTTAGGCTTACCGAAGCTAGTTTTGTCAATAAATTGAACCAAAGTAAAGGTAGGAGGAAAGGTATATCTCCATGTAAACACGGATTTATGAAACGCAGGTCTACTACAACAAATCTTTTAGAGCTCACATCCTTCGTGATAAATGGCTTTAAAAACCATTTTCAAACTGATGTCATTTACAGACTTCAGTAAAGCATTTGACTCTGTTAATCACTTGATTCGCAAACTTGACATGATAGGGTTTCCAGCAGATCTTTTAAGTTGGATCTTTAGTTCTCTCAGTGGCCGAACGCAAAGAGTCTTTTTCAAAAATTTCTTAAGTAGTCTTCTCAGAGTTACCTCTGGTGTACCACAAGGAAGCCATCTGGGTCCATTACTTTTTACCTTGTTTATTAATGATCGATCATTGCGCATTCCCGCATACTTATGTACGCGGACGATGTGAAACTGTGTATGCAGTTTAATGAATACTTCCGTCATTCAAACCTTCAAGCAGACCTAAACAATTTTCAAAACTGGTGTCACGACAATTTACTGAAATTAAACAGCTCTAAGTGCAAGCTGATGATGTTTTTTAGGGTCAATCCGCATAATGTCACATATTCGCTAAGTGGTAATACCTTGGAAAAAATAACGCTTGTTGACGATCTTGGTGTCCTCTTGGAACTAAAACTTTAATTCTCTCTTCAAATTCCGATGAGCAGCCGCGCAGCTGCAAAAATGTATGTAGCAGAACATGTAGGCAGCGCAGCCGCGTTGCCCAGCGACGAAGTAGAGGAGAACGAAAATGAAAAAGTACCGTTTGACGAATGTGAGGCAAAATGCAGTACGGTGGCCTCTGGCTACGGTGTACAGTCAAATAAAAATGATACGTCATGTTTAGAGCTTAATGTATTAAAACTACAATGCGAAAATGCTGAGCTACGCAATAAATGTATGGTGCCTTTTGAGACAATTAAAGAGCTGATACCAGAATTTGATGGCAGTGCTCCCTGAATAAAAAGACCAAAGGAGGAGCGAACAACGAATATGTAAGAATATTAAATGTAAAATTTGGTAAGATTAATAAGAAATATTTCCCCATAGAATGTCTCTTAGACTCCGGCAGTCCGATAACAATTTTAAAACGTTCAGCTGTTCCAAAAAATGAAAAATTTTTTGATTATGTTTCTGATAAAAAGTACGTTGGCATTAACGGAAGCGAATTAATTACAATTGGAAAAATATTTTGTTTTGTTTCTATATTTAATAAAGAAGTTGGCATTGAAGCCATTGTTGTCACTGACGAGTCCACTGGGTATTCAATGGTTTTGGGCCGAGATTTTCTATCGGCTAGGAAAATAAAAATGGTTGTTTTAAGCGATGTAAATGAAGATAGTGATGAATTAAATTCAGATGAAGACGAAATTTGTGATGATAATGTAAGCCTTAAAGAAGTAGAGAATGTTGAGGAAGAAAATGATAAATGTAATAAAAATGTCAAAGCAAAAGAAATAAATAACAATGCAAATGTAAATGATAAAAATAAAAATAAAAATAGTAATGTTAGTAAATGTAGTATGGTCACAAGAAGTATGTCCAAGAGTATCAGGAGATCCTTCATGCCAGGATAGCCGAATTGTAGTAGTAAGTTAGTCCTAAGCAACACTGTGCAATATTAGATTTAAGTATTATACAACACTATGCTCCCTCTCACGAGAGAGCATGAAGGAAGAGGATCTTCAATAAAGAGGCAGTTCAAGTTTGGCTGCAAAGGAAACATCACGTGTGTGTGCGCTTACTAAAATATATATATTAGGTTGTTAAAAAAGTCTTGCGGTATTTTCGCTAGTTGGCGCTGAAAGCGCGTAGTTTTTGTTTTATTCGTCGCATGAAGTCATACTATACCTTTTTGGAAAGCTCATTTCACGCGCTAACACGTGTTTGATTGATTGTCTTTTCTTCCGTTAGTTATAGCGTAGCAATCATGGAGCAAAATAAAGAGAAAATACGGCGTATTTTACAGTACTACTACGATAAAGGAAAAAATGCATCTCAAGCCGCCAATAAAATTTGTGCAGTTTATGGACCCGATACAGTTTCCATTTCCACCGCACAATGATGGTTTTAACGTTTTCGTTCTGGTGTAGAGGTGGTCGAAGATGCGCCACGCTCCGGAAGGCCTGTCGAAAGAAACCGGCATAGTAGCAGCCGTAGCCGTCGGTCAAGAGCTCGGCATGAGTCATCAAACCGTTATTAACCATTTAAAGAAGCTTGGAGTCACTAAGAAGCTCGATGTATGGGTGCCACACGAATTGACGCGAAAAAACATTTTTGACCGTATGGATGCATGCGAATCGCTTCTAAATCGCAACAAAATCGACCCGTTTTTGAAGAGTATGGTGACTGGCGATGAAAAGTGGGTCACTTACGATAACGTAAGGCGCAAACGGTCGTGGTCGAAAAGCGGTGAAGCTGCCAAGATGGTGGCCAAGCCTGGATTGACGGCCAGGAAGGTTCTTCTGTGTGTTTGGTGGGTTTGGCAGGGAATAATCCTCTCTGAGCTGCTCCCCTATGGCCAAACGCTCAATTCGGACCTGTACTGCTAACAACTGGACCGCTTGAAGAAAGCACTCATGCAGAAGAGGCCATCTTTGATCAACAGAGGCCGAATTGTCTTCCACCAGGACAACGCCAGGCCACACACATCTTTACTGACGCACCA